TTAATAAGTTGTACTTACGTAAAATTGCTTGTAATCTTGAATTTTAAGTAATATGCATCAATAAACAATACTTTATGCATAAAAAATTGTTTTTAAGAGTTTTTGTCAAATGCTTTGTAATATAGTATACTATAGATATATGCAGTATTTTTAGGGATTTTTCTAATGTTGGGCTTAAGTGGCTAAGTAACAAGTAACTAAAGAATGGGCTCATCTCATTTAGGGTTGTGTTTAGCAATTAACATTTAGAGGAAAAATTAATTTTAGTCAAAAAAAATATATATGATTTAGAGATTTAGCATTTTAGGCCCCTTTTACATTTAGCATTTAATCAATTTTCCCACGAAATTATTTTTGAATATTTTTATGATGTGTGAACTATGAATCGTAATTGATTTATTGAGTTTTATTTGTATTTTTAAGTTAGGTATTGATAAGGAGTCAAAACTTAGAGACTTCTGGTATCTTGACATCTTTCATTTTTTCTAACTGAAACAAAAATGGATTATTATCAGAGGTTGCAACATTGAATGATTAGAAAAAGGCACTATAGACAATGGATGTTTCATGCATGGAGGCTGGAGTCATAATGAGAGCCCGACTTTCCCCAATAAAAGAAAACTCTTCTCGCTCACGAAGCAAATGGCCAAGGCAGAGGACTACAAGTTTCTCTTTGTTAACTGGTTTTTACCGGTTTGACAACCTTATTGTTAACTGTATGGTTTGAAAAATTCTCAAACAGTCACTTGTGGTCTTGTACGTTAAAAATGGTTAAACCACGAACATTCCTGATTTTAATAAAAAAAATATTCTTCGTATATTTGAGTTAAATCAAAGATATTTATTGAGTAGCCATAACTCGATAGATATTGGCCAAGGACTAAGCTACGTGGGCACCAAGGAATGAATATGTTATTTTTAAACATTTTAAATTATAATTATATACATATTGTAGATAAAACACATAAAAAACTCGTTTAACATAGACCCATGAGTCATTTTTACTGGTTCAACCACCTCACAGCTCCATAGAGTTGGCCTTGGCCTGTTAAAATAGAGTTTGCTTAAACTTTTATAGATACTTTCATATTATAAAATAATACTGAATTATCTTAAGGGAAAAAAAATACAACCATAAGATTCAAATCTATGTTTTCTATTTGTTCCTTAATAAATAATGTTACAATATATTTATGGCATTGGTTTTGTTGTACCAAAAAGGTTTGTTTTGCTTGACATTACTCTTTATTTTTATTTTTAATTTAAATAAAGATAAAATGGTTTTACAATATTTACATATAAGACAAAGGCATGAAATGTCATTCCTCAAAAGACGAGGGGTGTTGGATGTAAAATGTTAGAATTCTAATGATTATGGCAGGCTGGGCCAGTTGTGTTAGTTAATCTGGCCCATAACAGAATCTTAGCATTTTTTCCACCTAAAAGTTTCTAGATACAAATATTTTTTTAAGTAAATTACAATTTTTGTTGATAATTTTGATTTCCGTTGGTTCAATTTAAAATTGTGTTTTTTGTTTCTATAGTTTGTAATTTATTATTATTTCTGTTCTTAAACTAATTCCCACCTTCAAGTATAAGGGACTAAAACAGTAAATAATCATAAATCGCATGAATTGAAACAACAATCTATATATATCTATAAAGCAAAATCATGATAGGTTGACGTGGCATCTTCTCGATGCAAATATCCTATTTTTCTCTTTTTTCCAAATTTTGATTTTTTTTCTTAGTAACTTTGCAAATTAATGTTTACATTTAACTCAAAAACTCTTCCCTTTCTCTTGGTACGTTTCACCTTCAATATTTAAATCCAATTAATTTTCACATTTAACTCAAAAACTCTTCCATTTCTCTTGGAACGTTTCAACTTCAATATTTAAACTCTTCAATCTTTGGTTTTTTTCATTTATGTGTTCTCTATCTCAATGTACGAGCTTTAAATTACTGGTACACTCTCCCCTCTTCTTTTCCATCTCTTATCTATGGCAGAAGAGTATACACGAGTTTATCATTATATGTAAGAAGGCATTGGAACTTGGATTAAGAAGAAGTCTCCATTGAGGCTTTAGAATTTTATGAGAATTTTGATTGTTTTTGTTTTTGTTGTAGATTCACTTTTGTTTTTATGTTTTTTATAGTTTTTTAATTTGTAATTTTGTAAGAAAAAACACCAACAATAAAATGACATTTTTAGGCATCACAATCTAATTTTCTTTTTCTCGAACTTTGCTTCTTTTTTTTTATTGATGTAATTATTATCAAAACATTAAATTAATTAGACTATTCATTTTCGTTGGTTACATCCAATTTCTTTTGTTCGTTTATCCCATGTAACTCTATTTGTCATTTACATAACAATAATTGAACACACACACACACACACACATATATATGTTTGTATTCAATATATATAATCAACATATCTGTAAACTCATTTGTATGAATGAAATTACGATTAATGTATGTGTATTTTATTTACATACTTGAATATATACTCATTTATATTTTTCTCAATTTTTGTCTTTTTTATTGATGTAATTATTAGCAAACATTAAATTAATTAGACTATTAATCTTCTTTAGTTACACTCAGTTTTCTTTATTTCTTATAATTAACGAATATATAAATAATCATTATATTTAGAAACTCACTTATATAAATGAAATTATGATTAATATGTATAAGTCTATTTACATAATAGTTGAATATAATAATAATATATTTACTAAATGACCAAAAACACGAGTTTCAATTATTTTTTAGTACAACATAATAAGAAATACAAGATTAACCGAGGTTGTTCAAACAAGCATAAGACAACTAAAAGGTATTACCGTAGCAATTGGGATTATGGATTTTCAGTTTATGAGGGGTAGTATGGGACTCATAGTCGGGGAGAAAATTACCCATTTGATTGAATACGCGAAGTTGGGATTATAAAAGTTAGTTGAGAAATTGTGAAATTGGATTTTATCGACAGTGTAGCTCTCGTACTTTGCCAATGTATAACTCACAAACTGTAAGTCATAATAAGCTCGTATCTTGCAACCACTTTCATGAAGGGTCGAAAGTCAGTTATGACTAATTGGCTCGAAACAATGTGTTTTCGAGGTTGTTTACATTGTATTTGGGATTAATTTGTTTTTTTGTAAAATTCGTATAAAATATATGAATAATCAAAACGAGGTGGGTAGATTCATATATCAAAGGTAATACTGATTCTTATTAATTTAATATATAAATGTGATCATCAATTCATTTAGCTAACTTCAATAATTTTAAAAAAATTATCGTCATCGCGCAACAATTAAATTATAAACTATAAGAACAAAAATGCTAATGGATTATAATGATAACGATGAAAATCATAATTTCTAAATCATAAGGACCAAAATAACAATTTTTAACAAACTACAAGGACGAAAACTGTAATTTAATCTATTTTTTAATTAAAATAATTCTTTAAGTTCATTACAGTTATATGTATTTATGTGTGCGCCACTTCTTGGACAATGATTATTGATTCTTTATATCTAATTAAATTCATAATTAATTAAACATAATAATCTACATATATTTGAAATATCTTATATAAACGCTTTAATGATTTAGTTGAAATTACATGCATACCCCTTTGACTTTGACCACTACATATACCTTTTTGGTCAACCTATAACCAAAATTCCACAAGTCCTAATCTGTTTTATCCTTTAAATTACAAGACATATTTATCTATATCTTATTTACAAACTCGGTCTCTAAATTAGATATATTCAGCTCATTTGGTTTGTTCTAACCAAACATGAGTTTCACATAGAAATTACAGACGTCTCTACCTTCAGATCAGATATACTGTGTTCATTTGTTCAAATCAAACACGGGTTCCGAGCTCAAGCTCATGGCCTTTGCGATCACCTTTATCTCTATGATCAACAAGTACTTCAAGGGGTTTAAAAGTGTAAAATTTTGCACAAAACAAGTAGTAGACTAGATTAAGAACCTGCAAGGCTGTTATTATCCAGTAAAAATACTCCAATTTTCCCTTATTCAAGTTATTATCAGGAAGCCAATTTGACCCGTCACTCCCTTGGCTAAACTTGTGAATCATGGTCACCAGAAGGGTACTCATGTAATTTCCAGCCGAAATTGCCAACCAAAACAACGCAGTCGCCGTGCTCCTCATGCTCTCCGGGGCTTGATCATACATAAATTCAAGATGCCCAATTGATATGAAAGCTTCAGCCACCCCATGAAGGACATACTGTGGCACCAACCAAAACACCATGATGGGAATCGTTTCATGTGGTTTATCGGTCAAACCATGGGCAAAAGCGACATTTTTACGCTTTATTTCCATGAATCCAGCTATGAGTGTGGCGAAAACCGATATACTGAACCCAATGGCCATCCTGCAAAGGAAAGAAACTCCCCGTTCTACCCCTGTGAATCTGCGCATGAAGGGGACAAACACGCGGTCGTAGAAGACGATGGTGGCTAGCATCGAGGTCAAGGTGAAGACGGACATGGAGCCGGCGGGGATTTGGAAGGATTTAGTGAGGTGTCTGTTCATGGTTTTGGCTTGTTGAAGTGAGAAAGTGTTTTGTTGAACATAGGCTGTGAATAGAATGATTCCAGAAGCCCAAATTGGACCCATTCTGAGAAGTGATTTTAGCTCTTCAACTCTGTGGACTGTGTTTAATCTCCACAAGTTTGGTTTTGATTGAGATTCTGTGAAGTCTTGTGGGGTTACAATGGCAGCTTTGTCCAAGAACCTGCAATTAGGGTTCCACCCTCTAATTTTAGTTCCAAAACCATAGTATCTAAAAGCAAAAGGTGATCACACAAACACAAGGGTGATATCGATTGGTTTGAGCTTGTGCTCCAAAGGTTAAAAGTGTTAGGAGGTCAGGTTCAAATCCAATGAGAAATAAAAATCTTCTTTTGGCCATGGAAGTTCAAATGCGATGACTCCAAGTTATCCACAAAGTATGTGATCATCCTCGGATTAATCGGCTTGCATAACGAGTTTGATATCTAGGTTAATAAAAAATGTGATCATAGTACAACAAAATCGGTTTTACATAGGACGTCAAATACGTCTAAGGGCCTATTTGTTACCAGCTTAATGAACGACTCACACCATCTATACATGACTGTTTGGTAGGAACTTAATGATATAGAAAGTGACTTATTCAATAAGCTTATAGGAGGAGCTTTGATGTGAAAATTCATCTAAAAAATATTTTTATATTAATTCTCATGGGTTTATAACTTTTTTAATGGTTCTTTCGTTATGATATTTAGACATATTTTTGCAGAGTGAAAATGATAGCGACTTACTTCATTTGTTTGGTATGGAGAAGTGTCCCAGCAATAGAAATGGAGGCATCAAGCTCTTCATTCACATACAGCAGCTTAGGATCTGAAACCATTGCCAAATTTCTCTTCTTATAAGCTGCCACACACACTTGCACCAACCGGGTAAACGGGCTACCCGATGGATCCATATTCCGGTACAACGGGAGACCAAACACGAAGGCCACGATGGAGATAGCCATCGCTATCGACGGGACACCGAGACCCCACCCCCACCCTACATTGTCCTGAATGTACACGATCACCGTCACCGCTACAAGCATAGATGCCCCCATGCAAAAGTAATACCAGTTGAAGAATTTCCATGTGCTAGTCTTCTGTTTCTCGTCCGTTTCGTCAAACTGGTCCGCTCCAAACGCCACCACGCAGGGTCGGATCCCACCCGACCCGATTGCCGTTAGCAAAAGAGATATGTATAAGATTGCTAGCTGACCCGTATCCGCTTCTTGGCATATTTGTCCGTTTTGGCAGGGTGGGGGTCTTAACTTTGGTAGTATTGCCGATATTGTTAATGATACCATCCCCTGGTAACATATAAAAGCTAAGTCGAGTAAAATTATGTATACATACATGTAATAAAAATAAAATATCATATCAGTTATCAAGAAAATTAAAACAACTTACGATCTGATAAATAACAGAAGCCACACTAATGGTCCAAAACCGACCCGCAAACGAATCGGCTATGAAAGCCCCGAGCAAAGGAGTCAGGCTCGCGGTACCACCAAAGTTGGTTAGAGTGTTGGCGGCTTTGGTCAATGGCATATGCAGCTGTAGTGTTAAGTAGCTTATCATATTCGTTTGGAATCCCACGACAGCCAGCTTCTCACACACCTCGTTCGCTACATAAACACCAAACCGTTATAAATCAAGAAGTCGAGTTTTTCCGTTACCGTTTATGAGTTAGAGGTATGTTTATGGAATAAATAAAAGGAAGAAAGTGAAGAAAGAGAGTACCAAAAATGAAGGGCATGGTGATGAGTCCACCTTTGGGTCTTTTGGCATGATGATGAGTATTGGTATTGGTATCTTCCATTTCTTTGTGTGTAGTGAGGATGTTTCTACAATGCATAATTTATAGGGGGGATGGTATGCAACAAGATAACATTATCTTCTTTGGCACCATTTTGCACAACTTTATGGCCACAAATCATTGGAATCACCGAGTTGTGTGAATGAAGGGCAAATATGTCAAACAAGTATTTGGTACAAGGATTGATATATTTATTCAAATAATTTTTCCATTTATTTTAAAAAAAAATGTTGAGTAAATATTATATTTTATAACAAGATATATTTTAGTAATTGATAACTTATATATATACATATATAGATAATATACTTATCTGATTAGACCACAAAATAAATAAATAAATAAATATATATATATATATATATATATATATATAGGCCTATTCAAGGGAGAACTGAGTTGTTTGTAGTAACTGTGAGAACCAATATTAACCACAAATCAATAGATAAATTAGGAAATTTATAAATTTGGTAATTTTGAATTAAAATCTTAATGCAAGGATATTTTTGGTATTTTAAAACACTCCTCTCTCCTCTCTTCTCTCTCCGGCCTCCGGCCACCGTCCTCCGGTGATACCACTATGATACCACTGTGATACCTAAAAATATTGACTCTGTTAAACAAAAGATACATTGTGATAYCTAATCATATATAAGATGCATAGTGATACCACTGTGTTACATCTTCGATTGATCACACTAACGACATCAATGTGATACCCAAACACATATATGATGCATTGTGATACCATTATATTATCACCGGAGGACGGTGGCCGGCAGACGGTGGCCGGCGGACGGTGGCCGGCGGACGGTGGCAGGAAGACGGTGGCCGGAGAGAGAAGAGAGGAGGGAGGAAAGTTGTAAAATACCAAAAATATCMTTRCATTAAAATTTTAATTCAAAATTGCCAAAATTATAAATTTCTTAATTTATCTATTGATTTGTGGTTAATATTGGTTCTCACAGTTACCACAAACTAATTAGTTCTCATTTGATTAGGCCCCTATATATATATATATGTAATTATATGTAATTTTACATGTGATTACAAAACACAGTCAAAGTAAGGATGAGTGGGAGACATGGCCTATCTCATGTCACGACCAAAGTCGCGTGAATTGATGTGATTTTACACGTGAATTTTAGTGAAAAATCATATATGATTCGGTCATTTTCATGTTCTTTAATTTGGTTACTGTTCTCGTATGAACTTGACTCTCAAGTAGAAACTTATTAAAAGTTAGGATCCATGAAAACCAGTTTCAATTATAGTTTCGTAAGTGAAACAACACATGTAAAAACCAAACTCGTTATATTAACCAAAACCATCAAACAAATTTGTTTTTTAAACTTTTGTTTGTGAGTATGACCTTGTCTTTTTAATGTATAAATATACTTTTATGTTTTTCACGCAAAACATTCTTTGACGTTTCATGTATAAAACTGCATGTTCACATATGAAACAAAACATACAAAGTGGTTTTTATAATTTCCGACTTTTAAACGATTTTTATTTGATTTACCCTCTATCTAATAAATATTCCTTAAAAGGATTCACATTAAAGAACTATCTATTAAAATGAATAAATTAAAGGAACCTTTTCGATTCAGATTTTAGAATCATGAAGTGAATATAAAGTTTGTCGACATGTTAAATAGTGATGGTCGACATGACAACACATTCGATGTGTTTTTTATAATACAAAAAGAACAAATTTAAGACATCTTATAAGAATCATAAAATTTTAACTGTATAACTTTTTTGTTCTAACAAAAAAAACATAAAATCTGACATATGATCAATAATGAGCAATAACACATAAACTTTTATAGTATGTAAATCCATATCATAAACTCTATGTGTTAAGTTTGGCCTTATCTTTTGTACATGATGAAACATTGTGACATGTAAATGTAATTGTAGTTAAAAGCAGAGGTCTTGGGTTTTTTTTATAGATAAAATGAAGTATCTTCAGTCCATTAAGGTTTTAAGTATAAAATTCTTTTGGGTCCCTTCATCATTGTTGATCCGGTCCATTTGTGTTTCCCCACTTAAAAGACTATTTTTAAGCTGTTGTTATTTATTTTTGCTTTTTTTACTTTGCAATTTATTGTGTAAACTTGAGTTGAGTCTAAAAATTTGTATCGTTGACTTTATAATATGATGGAAGATTGACCATAAAATAGTTTATAAAGTTATTCTTTGAGGATACAACGATGGTATATATCTACCTTCCTTCGATCACGAGAACAACCATCAATTATCGAAATAGGTTTGTTTTTTCTCACTTATTTTTTGCGGACTAAATTTATGGAGTTCCAATTCATCTTCGGCTACATTTTGAATCAGACAAGATTTTTAGTGGTTGTTTACATATTCTGGGTATTTTGGATAATAGAGTTTTATTCATGTTTACAGTATTCAGATATTAAACTTTATTCATGTTTTGAGTGAATATTGAGTTTTTTTTTTATTAACCTGGATATCCAACCCGTTATCCGAGCTGACTAATCCTAGGACGACCACCTGCTTTGCAGATAGTCCGGAGTCACCACATTTGAACCTCCGTGGCCACAAGGGGATTTTTATTCCTCATTGGATTTAAACCTGGGACATCCTGCTACTTTTGACATTTGGAGTCAAGCTCAAACCAATCAGGCACCACCCTTGTGGTTTGAGTATTGAGTTTTGATTTCATATTGAATGGACTTCTGATTTAAAGTTTTTATCACGAAAATGATAGATATTTAAATAAGCAATTATGTTATAAATAAGCAGTTTACAGTTTTACAGTTCTATATTTGTAATGAGAATTGTTTGAACTCATAGGCGTTAAGTCTAATCCATTTATTTGTCGGCATGTGCATCATATCCTTGTTGGGAATGGTTCTAGCGACACCGTGAAGAGTGAAGTGCTAGTTAGTTGCACGAAAAGGATTTAGATATTCAGGGACGTCTTCCATAGTTTGGAGATAGCAGTTGTTATTGGATTTTAGTAACACCAACCCTTAATCTAGACTTTGTATAAGGTTTGGATTATTATTTATTGATGTTAAATCATAGATTTTCTTTATAGCCAAGTAAATATAGACAATCAGAAAGGAGTTTATTCCTTATTTGATGTAATATCGAAAATTTTAAAGTTGTCGCTCTTTCCAAATTTGAGGGTGTTGCGAACCAGGTACCCGTCTCTTGTGATTTGGTTCTACATTTTCCTTACAAATTGAGTGGAACTGAACCAAACCGAACCGTGAACACCTGTACTGGGTAAGACTTTAAAAATGTAAATAATAATACAGTGGAAAGGGATATTATGGTGTCGCAATCAAAATAATAATGTATGTTCTCGTCTTGTAAAAATGTATGACACCATTCTCTATAAAAAAATCTATTCGTACCGGTCCAACGACCATAATGAAAAAGTAAGTCATACGTCAAGACAGGTGAGTGGTGCCTGAAGTCAAAGCTATAGGCCTCTCAGATATCATCAGGGCCGGTTCTATGGGTTTTAATGCCCTATGCAAAAATACTAAAGAAATGGCACGGAACATATGATCTTTTAAAGATTTAGAACCTAGTCAAGTTAGGCGACTCATCATTGCCCTAAATTTTATTGATTATAGTAAAATACAAGGAAAGAAACATAAAAACTAGTAATAGATGAAAATTTGATACCTCTTTAATGTCTTCTGCAATCGCATGGATTGCACGTAACCAAGGCTGAGCCTATATATTATATAATAATTAATAAGAAAATATATTTATCATTTCTCAAAATACAAAATAATATCGATTTTATATTAATATATAATTACAAAACAAATTTTATATACGAGGAGTTTTGACAAATTAAATTACGTGGTTTTGCAACTAAATTAATTTCTTGACCCCAAATTGCTGTCCAATCAAAATCAATATTTAAGACAAAATGTTGACTCAATAATGGTAGCATGAAAAATTCAACCTTCTTAAGTCCCACCTTCCTTTTTTCCATACACCGTACACGTGTACAGATGCACAATTAAAAATGAATACAAGGTGAATAAATAAATCAATGTTTTTTTTTATAAATTTCGTAATTAAAATTATTTACAATATATTCATAAATGATAGGTTTAGATTTACGGATTATTTATTTACCTCTTAATAGTTTTATTAAAAAGTAACTTCTGAATCGTTAAAAGATGAATCTTGTTTGGTAAAAAAAAGTCTGCCTCTTAATGGTTCTGAAACATTCTGAATGATTTTGTATCATAGATCTCCCTTAACCATTAAGAGCTCTAATTTCATTGTACATAATTACCAAATAATTATATTTCATTTTATACTATATCATGAGAGTCTCTTAATCATTCTGACCATTTAATCATTCTGCACAAAACCATTCAGCAATTGTCAAACAACCCCTTAGTTATATTATTTTAGTTGGTGTTCACAATGTATTCATAAATCATACAAGATCTCATAGATTTAAAGTGTGTTTACAAATTATAATAGTATTTCTAAAAATTATTCACAATCTGTGTAACTTGTGTGTAATTGTCTGTGTATGTTACATGAATGATGCAGTTTTTAAAAGAAGACCCCTTACATGATATATATTTGAGTAGAGGGAGGATAATGCAAGAAGTAAATTAATTTGCAAGAATGCAATAAAGAATATAAGTCATATATCTTATTGGGAAAAGTCTAAAAAAGCTCAATGGACTTTAGTGTTTGGAATGATTAACTTCTTGGACAATTTTTTGAAACAAATAAGTCATTGGACATTACAAAACCTGTTAAACAACTCCTTGAACTTTCCAAAACCTGTTATATACATTCTTATGACCTATAAAACTAAAGGAAAAGTCTAAAAAAACCCAATGGACTTTAGTGTTTGGAATGATTAAGTTCTTGAACAATTTTTTAGAACAAATAAGTCATAGAACATTTCAAAACCTGTTAAACAACTTCTTGGATTTTCTAAATCCTGTTATATACATTTTTATTACCTATAA